TTATGGATCTTTCTCACTCGTTTGCTTGTATTGTGTGCATTTTTTTTTTGTTAAGAGTGGAGTTTGTTGCTTGTCAAATAACTTACAGTAAATTACGACCACATCCCTGAGGTAATATTAAATTACGAAAAAATCTTATTCTGTTTGTGTAATTACAATAACTTTATCAATTAAAAATCTTCTTACAAGTATACTTTTGCAATGTCAAATTTTGGATTATGTGATATATTCCCCAGTTTTATTCCATTCAAGCTCCATCAAACAAGACAACCATAAGATCTGTCTCTTGGCTTGTAAATATTAGATTGTGGTGCATCTGAAAACTGTATTTTTTGCACAAAACGAGTACAAACTAGAGAACATTTCACGGAATCTGGAAGATTATATTGAAGTTGATACCATAATAATGGATATGTTAGAAGATTCATAGGTATGGAGTGATTGTAATTACCCAAAAAATATGGGTTTTTTCGTAATTTAACCTTAACTCAGAACAGACCATAATTTACCCAATAACTTATTATGTTGATACGAACAATTTGTACGTTCGTCTAGAAAATAAGCTTTTAAAACAATTTATAATCGTGTAGATGTTTAAAATAAGTTTAAGCAAATACCTTCCTAATATATCTTACCTAACATGCCTTCTTATTTGGACTATTAAGCATAATTAGATTTTAAAGGAGAAATTAAATAAATTAATTAATTAAAAAATCGACGCATCAAGTAAATTCAATTTACATACCGGGTTTCGGGTTTCGGGTTTTCGGGTTTCAGGTTTCGGATTTCGGGTTTCGGGTTTTCGGGTTTCCGGTTTCGGATTTTCGGGTTTCCGGTTTGATAGATTCTAAGCCGCACGAAAAATGAATTAATTTTAGTTGATAAAGTTGTCATCTCCTCAACTCTCACGTACGAACTTTCCCACACGGAAAAATCAAGAAGAACGGCGGCAACTAACAATGGAGGAAATACAGCACCGAACAATCCCCGTCAACGGCATCAGCATGCACGTGGCCGAGCTCGGCGAGGGCCCACTGGTCCTCTTCCTCCACGGCTTCCCGGAGCTCTGGTACTCGTGGCGCCACCAGATGGTTTTCGTGGCGGCGCGTGGATACCGCGCGGTGGCGCCGGACATGAGGGGCTACGGCGACACCACCGGCGCCCCCCTCGACGACCCCTCGAAGTTCACCCTGCTCCACCTCGTCGGAGACCTGATCTCGCTGCTCGACGCGGTCTCGCCGAATGGTGCAGACAAGGTGTTTGTTGTTGGGCATGACTGGGGTGCTTTTGTTGCTTGGCACTTGTGCATGTACAGGCCTGATAGAGTGAAGGCTCTGGTGAATTTGAGTGTTGCTTTTATTCCCAGGGATCCTGAGATGAATCCAGTCCAGAAGATGCGGAGTTTGTATGGTGAAGATCATTATATCTGCAGATTTCAGGTTGGATTATGATCTTGTACCTTACTTTATTTTGTTAAGTTAAACCTCTATAAATTAATACCGACAGTCGGGACTAACAAAATTCTATTAATTTAGCGAAATATTAAATCATCGAACTAATAATTTAGTAGGTTTGTACTGAATTGAGTCGTCGGGGGACCGGAAGAAACTATAATTTAAGCAAGGTTGTTAATTTATCGAGTATTAATTTATTGAGGTTATACTGGATGTGTAGAATTTTGATTTGTGTTCTTGGAATTTGCCTTGATTGGGTAAGTTTTTAGCTGTGGATTTGACATTTGTTTGCTCCTTAGAAATTGGTTTTTGACAAGGTACAATTTTATGGTGTGATTGGTTCTTGAATTCTAGTGATTAAAATAGAAAGATTTTTCCTTTTTGATTGATTTTACCTGTGATTCGCTTTCGTCTACGGTAAGTTTTCCTGCAAGATCGAAAAGTGGGGTAAGTATTCTTTATGAAAAGATTTAAATTTATCAAAATTCATACGTAAAGAATCTTGATTTTTCTCGTTTGTATGTTCTTGGATCGAGGGTTTCTCCGAACAATCATGAGAATAAGATGTTTTTCGAATAATCGTTTTTAAGGACACCATAACTCGTCTGGCTATTTCGGTTCATAGTTCTCTGCTTCTATTAATATACAATGTTATCGAACAAATCGGACAACCAATTAACGAACATTTTCCTTATTAATGTTGTAGGAGCCTGGTGATATAGAAGCCGAGTTCGAAAAAATTGGCGTTAAAGAAGTCCTCAAAAACATCCTTGCTTTTCGAAACCCCGCTCCACTTTACTTTCCCAAAGGCAAAGGCTTTACCTATTCTGCCGACAGGGCACCATGGCTAACAGAGGAGGAGCTCGACTATTACGTCACCAAATTCGAAAAAACTGGTTTCACAGGAGGAATCAATTATTACCGCGCCTTTGGCTTGTAAGTATTCCCAATAATGGCATATTTGAAATTCATCATTCTTGATTGAGTTTGAATTTTTTTTTTACTTTTGTTAAAAAAAAAATACGCAGAAGCTGGGAGCTGAATGCACCGTGGGCTGGAGCTCAAGTAAACGTGCCGACAAAGTTTATCGTCGGGGAATTGGATCTAGTCTATCATACTCCAGGCACTAAAGATTTTATACACAAAGGTGGGTTCAAGAAATTCGTGCCTTTACTGCAAGAAATCGTGGTTTTGGAAGGCGCTGCTCATTTCGTCAATCAAGAAAGGGCCGATGAGATTAACCAACATATCTATGCTTTTCTTCAGCAGTTTTAAGATGATTCTCTTCGTAATTTACACGGAGTTCTTTCGCTGAGGAAATGTCTATATATATATATATATATATATATATATATATATATATATATATATATATATATATATATATATGTGTGTGTGTGTGTGTGTGTGTGTGTGTTCTGAATAAATGAGAATAAGAGGTCATGTGTAGGCTTCATGCTTTTGTGTTCATAACTTATCATAAGCAAATATATATTGAAGCTTTTCTTGTTATTTTATTAAATGTAGCAACTTTTTTTTTTTTGGCAATATATATGTATTAGCACAATATATGAAAACATAAAGATTAAATATTCAACCCTCTAAAGAAACAGATGCCAAGGTATTCGATGCCGGAGAGTCTTCATGTTCATCGTCACCTTCCGTAGTTCAACAAGAGTCAAACGATCTGGAAATTTTTATTCAAAAAAATTAATCTAAAAATAAATAAAATTAAATAATCTCGAAATCTAAATTAGTTTCCGATACCTGTTGGAGTTTGAATGCTGCCCCCTAATCGATAACGGCAATGGGCAGTTTACGGTCGATAGTTTCTCCTTTCCAGCAGAACCCTCAGCCAACTGCAGATATATAAAAAAAAATTCAATTTATTTTAATATATATATATATATATATATATATATATATATATATATATATGTGTTATAAAATATATAAATAAAAAATAAAAAAAACTAAAAACTTACAGTTTGTGTGGATGAACCATCAATTTTGAGCAGTTCAATTTCATTATCCTTCTTTCCCTTTTCTTTTCGTAAACGAGCACGAAAGCGCATTTGCATACGAAAAACAGAAGCAGCAAACCAAGCGAAAATACGAACACTGATTCTATTACAATTGCTGATCCTAAAGCTGCACCGACGCCGTAAAATTAGTACATAATAATAACCTTTAAAAAAAAAAAAAAAGAAGCATGTCTTTATTTAAAAATATGAAGTTTAAATTCATATATATAAAATCTTACTATGAGCTACTAATGAACTCATGGGCCTGTGTCTTATAAGATTAACCGTCGATTCAGCAAAAAGAGACATCGAAATTGCCTCGTCACAATTCGGATAGCACCCGTAATTTCCCAGGTCGTTTACAGTCAAAGTCAACACGTCTCCATGTTCGCCTTCCTATAAATAATAATAAATAAAAAAATAAAAAATTATAGCTCGATATTATATATTGCGAAAGACGAGAAAGGGTTTCGATCGGCTACTCACGTGGTAGGATAGTTGCTGCATGATACTATTGCATTCGTCGATTGTACCTTTAAATCGGATGCCTTTTGCCTTAACCAAGAAATGCTTCGAGATCGTAACAAATGTTTGAAGAGGCTGCCATTGATAACTACTCTTCGTTTTCAGTTCAGTCGAGCTAACGAGATTCGCAGGAAGACTTGTCGATAATAATCCATCACTCACTTCCATTGAAAACATTATCGAAAAACGAGACCTATTTCCTAAAAAACAAATTTAAAAAAATCAAGAAATAAATAATAAACATAGTATTTTTCTTTTCAATGTACTAATAATAAATTATACCAGGAAAATTTCGAAGATCCGGATCTTCGATGAAGTCAAACTCGTCGCTAAGTTGACCAAAGATGAGTATTCCATCATTCATATTATCCAAGATAACAAACGAGGGAGTGTTTACGACCGGTGGATCGTTGATTGGCTGAACGTAAATCGGAATTTCTATTTCGTTCTTCCCGTTTCTGTTTATGGTAGAAACTCGGATAATATCTTCACCGTAAAAATTCTCATTTCTATCACCACAAAAAAAAAGAAAATCGTAAAAAAATGCTATACACAAATACGATAGAGATGATTAATCGATATAAAAAAAATACCCGAAATATTGGATGGATTGAAGAGCAAAGTTGATAGCGTAAAGAGAGCCTACTAATTTCAATTCGTTAGCCTCTTTATACACGTAAAGTTTATCCCATTTCGGCTGCCAAAATTGCATTTGCATGGGAGATAACGATAAATTCCCCGATTTTGAAGTTAGAGTAACGTTTATTATTTCATCGAAATCGGAGTAAATAATCTCAAATCCTGTGAAACCACTGCCAAAAATTAAAATAAAACATTTCGTTATGATTTTCTTTTTCGTTTTCGTATTTGGTGTAAATTAGAAAGTAGCAAATCGTACCCGAATGTGGGACTAATTAAATCCTCGGTAGCTTGCAAATTACTCGGAATCGAAATGAATTGAGGTGGTCTACAGAGGATTAGTAAATCCACAGCACCAGAAGCAAAATTCCCGTTTATGTCGATTATCGAGTACGAAAAAGAATCATTCCCAAAAAGCCCTCGGTACGGTGTGTATCGAAAAACGTTCCCGTATTGTAGGAGTGAACCATGACTTGGCTGCCAATAATATATTCGAACTCATATACAAATAAATATTTCGATTTTTCTAATGTTTTATGTGTATGTTCTTACCTTAGTATATTCAAGAATACTTGCATTTCCACCGGCGAAATAATCGTTATCCAAAACGTTAAACGCAATCGATTCATCCTCCCATACCGAAACTGTATCGTTATACACTTTCGGAAAATATTCGTCTGAAAAAATAATAACACACACAAAAATCAAATTAAAAAATTAATTATTGATAAATAAAAAAACATTTAATGCAACTGAGACTTACTATTGTACACATTCACACCAAACGGACAAGGCAAGAATCGCTCTCCGTTATACGAAGCGCATATTTCGTACGTGCCGACGTCTTTTGCCAGGTAGGGACCACTATATGATCCATCTTTGTTATCGGAAAAAATCCAAGTCGAAAAATCGGATTTATTTATCGAAGCAATTTCCAAGTTCAGCTTGGATTGTTCTAGAAGAACGGGATTCGAATACGAGTCCACGAGATGTACAATTATTTCATTTTTCGACATCTTAGGAACTTTCCGAGCATAATTCATAACTCCCGAGCGTGACACGTTAACACTTCCTGCAGCAAATTCATAATTAAAAATATTCTTTTCTAAAACTTTCAAATGTTTCGTTTCGTGAATTTAAAAAAATCGACGGTTACCTGGGCTTACTTGCTTTCGAAACGGACGCCCACGATTCAAAGGAATATTCCCGCAAAAAACTCGTATCTCGTATAAACCACTCTTTTCAGGTGTATAAATAACATCGAAATCGCTAGCCTTATGCTTTTGTATTTCCACTAACCTGCGTAACAAGAGCTATAT